CTTAGCAACGATGGCATCACTAGTTGGCCTGACAACAGTTTGGTTTAAGGGGCAGGGAGGAACAGACCAGAGAGCAAAGCTGTAGAATTTTCATTTCTGAGGCTCTTTCTCTGGTGTGCTTTTCCATTTTAGAAATTTTGCAATAAAAAACCCTATACAGTCCTTATTTGCCAGCTGGATCATGTCTTCCACTTTGGCTTCTCTGAGCGAGTCAAGGTCAGTGTCCTGTAAAGGCGCAGTAGATGGATCGAACCGCTGCAGCTGTCTCAACTGCTCAAGCGATAAGCCAGCTCCCATCATACCTTCTCCTCCAATCTGTGGCTCCTGGGGCTGCAGCTGAAGGCAAGGAAATGTGCTGAGGGCCCAGGCAACCTGCTCTTCGTTTTCTGCCAGGGTTATAGTACACGTGCTATAAACCAGCATGCCTCCCGGCTTGAGCAGCTGGACTGCCACGGAAAGGAGTTTTCGCTGCAGCGGTTGATATGATGTCACTTCCTTCAAAGTCCAAGTACAAGCCATATTTGGTCTCTGTCCCATTCCACTGCAAGGTGCATCAAGGAGAACTCGGTCAAAAGATTCTGGTGTGAATGGAGGTGCCCCTTCTGTGTCCTCAGTCATATCAAGTTTAAGTGCTTTTGTTCCATCAAAACAAAACGCTTTGATGGAATTCAATCCTAATAATAAAGCATTCTGCTTTATTTTTTCTACTTTGTTGGCTATTTTATCCAATGCTATTACTTCTCCCTGATCATGCATTAGTGCTGCAATATGTGTTGTTTTACCTCCAGGTGCTGCACACAAATCTAGAATCTTCTCTCCAGGTTGAGGATTCAGAACATGAGTTACTACAGCAGATGGTAAATTCTGTAAAAATAAGTAACTGGGCAGGACATTGTCAAACGAGGGGCTCAGATACACAGGTTCTGTCATTCTTACACCTACACCTCTAGGTCCAATCACAGGAATAAGTAAGACATCTGGAAGGTCAGGATGCTGAAGAACAGGAACACTTAATCCATTAAACTGCTTCTGAAATTCATCAAGCAGCAGAGTTTTCACATGCTGAACTGTGGCTAAATGTGTGTTCACTCTAACAGTTGTGAATGATGGAGGATGTGACAGGCGATTTAACAGAGTTTCAAACTTGTTTTCTGCTTCTTCTTTGCCTGATCCAGATACAACCTCTTTATTCACAAAGCCCTCTTTAAGATAGTTTTCAACTTCAGGTCTTAAAGATACTTTGGGAAAAATAGGCATTTTTTTTTTCCTGTTGAGTTGTTCGAGAGGCTGAAAAGTGTAGGCTTTCTTTCCAAATTGCAGAGAGCAGTATCTTCACAATGAATAGCTGCCCTCAGTATCGAGACCACCAGGCGGCCAGAGAAATCGCGCCGGTCACGCCGAGCTAAGGACGAAAAGCGTGGAACCCTCCGTGGCTTCTCGAATTTTGCCGAATTACAACTTCCTCGCCCCAACACACCAGGCTCTGGCCCTCTGAGGGTCCTCAAGGAAACAGTAAACTGCAAGGCGGTGAAACGTTGCAGAAAGAAACAGAGAAGCAGCCTAGTGTTTGGCTCTTTGGTTAACTGAACACCACCGGGAAAGCACGGCATCAACAGCAGTATCTCCAAGGTTCCGGAATAGCTGGTTTAAATGGAATTTCCCATCCAACTTTTCTAAGGAGTCTCCATACTGATTTCTATAATGGTTGCACCAGCCTACATCCCACCAGCAGTGGAGAAGTGTTCCTTTTTCCCCACAGCCTCTCCAACATTTGTTGTTGGTTGATTTCTTTATGAAAGCCATTCTTTCTGGGAAAAGATGATATCTCGATGTTGTTTTAATTTGCATTTCGTGGATGGCTAGTGATGTGGAGCATTTTTTCATATATTTATTCACTTCTTTAATTTCATCCTCTAAGAAGAGTGTGTTCAACTCAGATGCCCATTTCTGGATTGAGTCTTTAAATTTTGGGGCCTGGGTGTTTTTTAGTTCTTTATAAATTCTAGAGAGTAGTCCTTTGTCTGAGTACTTATTTGTCATGATTTTTTCCAAATTTGTGGGTTGCCTTTTTACTTTGTTGGTAATTTCTTTTGACATGAAAAAACTTCTCAGTAAGAGCAGGGTTTTTTGTTTGTTTGCACTACTGGTGATTGAACTCAGGACCTTGTGCTTGTCAGGCAAGTGCTTATCCTACTGAGCTATATCCCTGGCCTTAGTCATGTTATCTTAATTCTTGTTTATTTTAAAGAGAAAAAAAAAGCAATAATTAACAATAAAAGTAAGTGTTCAGAATACAAGATATAGGCATGAAACACTGTCCAGAAATCACCAGTACAAAACTTTCCCCTCGATGAAAAAGAGAAACCAGCTTTGTAAATGTCTTAACAGTCTTGGGTATGTATATATTTTGTCCTTTACCCTTTCTTCCTTTTCTCTTTGCCCCATCATGGTTTTTCTTTCCTTTCGATCAGTTTCTTCCCTAGTCACAATATCTTTTGAATCTTGCTTATTCTTCTGGATCCCCCTACGAGTGAGACAATACTATGTTTACCTATGTGGGTTTGGTTTATTTCACTTTTCAGTATGCTCTCAAGTTGCATGCATTTACCTACAAAAGTCTCAAGTTTGGGGCTGGCAAGATAGCTTCGTGGTCTGACGCGCCTGCTCAGGCAAGCTTAGTCTAAGCCTAGGCAATACGGGGACTGCAGTTCGATCCCTGGTACCATACACCAAGACAGCCCTGCCCCCAGGGCCACAAAAAAAGTATCAAGCTCTCTCTTTCTTTATGACTGTATAGCATCCCATTATATGAAAAAGAAAAAAAGATCACGCCTTTTTTAGTCCTTCCCTGGTTGATGGGCATTTAGGTTTTTCCCAAGATTTAGTGATTATAAATTGTGCTGAAACAAACATGGGTGCACATACATCACTGTGGTGCAATGTTTTTGACTCTTCTGGGAAGATACACACACACACACAAATAATAGCTCAATCAAGTGGGACCTCTAATCCTAGTTTTTTAAGAAGTCTCCACACTGACTTCAACTTACAACTTCTAGGGAAATCACAGTGGAGATTCCTCAAAAAAAATGGGTTTAGAGGTCCCATTTGACCCAGCTCTTTCTTCCCCAAGTACCTTCCCAGAATAATTAAAAACATGATACCATAATGCATAAGAAGAAAAGGCTTACTTCGTCTCATTATTTCAGGGACTGCAGTTTTGATTTTACTGCTTCTAATGTAGAAATCTCATGGTACATAGAAATAAAGTGAAAAGACAATGACTTTAAGTGACCCAGGAACCAAAGAGAAAGAAAAGAAGCTGAGAAAAGTGAACACGAGTCCAGACTTGGTCCCTCGTGTCACACAATCGTGATTCAACAAGACACAGCAAGAGGGGTACGATATTAATAGCCCGTATATCTTTCAAGCCAAACAAGTGATTAACATGACTGTACCACCTGACTGTAGATATTTCTCTCTCTCTCTTTCTCTCTCTCTCTCTCTCTCTCTCTCTCTCTCTCTCTCTCTCTCTCTCTGTTTTTGTTTTTGCTTTTTGGTGCCTGGGACCAAATTCAGAACCTCATGCTTGCCAGGCAGGCGCTGAATCCATTGAGCTATCTCTCAGGCCCCACCGATATTTTTTTCTAGGAATAATAATTCTCAAATGTAGAAAATCTCAACATGTGATGAGCCAGGTCAGGGCATGTAGTGAGCCTAAAGTCCTCCTGTACACCAACTTCAGCACAAGAAAGTGCTCAGGCGCGTCAAGTGTGGGGCTCTTTCAGCAGTCTTCTGGCCTTCACACTTGAAACACGTTTATCTTCAGAACTGAGATGTTTTATATGACTCTGAATCAGTACGAAGCTTCCCTGAGAGAGCTGGCATGCTTGCCTTTCCTGCCCTTTTGCTTTTGCATGAATATTGCTATCATACAACTCTAATTTCTTTATGTACATAATAATTCTATTCCTCATGTGGGCTGTATATTCATTTTCATGAATGAAAATGGTCAAATTGAAAGACAGTATGGAAATCTTGGCGAGAAAACTGACTGTCTCATTCCCAACAGCAGGCCCTCCCTTTTATTCTAATTTGGATTTAGGATGTTTTCTGACATCTGGGGATTGACTCTTCCATAGGACATTGACCCTCGATCTAACTTCTTTTTTTTTTTTTTTTTTTTTTTTTTTTTTAACAGAGTCTTCAGTCCAGTCACTACGTGGAGCACTCATAGTGATCCTCCTGTTTTCAGCATCCCAAGCACTGGGATTACTGGCGCACCCCACCACACCCAGTCTCAGGGGCTGTCTCAGTGCTCCCCCGGGGTGAGGCCGAAACTTTGCTGGGGATCGAACCCGGTTCCTCCACCTGCCTAAGCAAGCGCTTTAGTCTGCTGAATTATCTAGCCGGCCCTAGCCCTCGAACTTTCTGAGCACATTTGTGACCCATTTTCAGGAAAAGTCCACTGAGTCCAGTGAGAAATCCAGGACAGCTTTAAAAACCCAGGAGTACAGCTCTGAGATGCAAGTATTCTTCAAGTGAGGTGAGATTGACAGGTGGAAAACAGACTGGTGCAGGGGTTCCTGGGTTACAAGCCAGCATCAGAGCTCGACCCCTGGCTCAGTCCACCTGAGTGACAGAGGAGCAGGAGCCAATCGGTAATGAAGGCGCGGGCTGTGTAAACTTCCCAATTAGATAGGCTAAGGGAGGAGGGCACTTCCTGTGTGATGGCTCCGCAGTGCGCACGTTCAGGGTGTTGCCGACAGCTTCCCGCTGACTAGACCGCATTTTTCTGCAGTTTTTACTGGCTGCCACGGCATTGGAAGGATCCTCGGAGACCATCATCCCACGCAATGGTAACGGTGTGGAACGGGAGCTGGGGAGGGATGGAATCTGGTGTGTTGCGGATGGAAGTGGTCTGAACCAGCTCCGCAATGCACCGCCTCCCTGCTGTGCCCCAGACCCCGAGCTCTTCCTGGGCTGTGGTGCTTCGTCAGCATCTGAACGGTTTTCCCGTTTGCTCAAGTAGGGACAGTACTGTTCCCAGCACACAATCCCGACTGTGACCCTGCCAGCCCTGAATACCTTCCTGGTCAGCCGCTGACACAAAGGTGTCTGCACCACTCTGGAGAGAGCACGGGTTTTGGAGAAACCCTGGCTTGCATTCACATCATTTAAAAAAATCATCACTTGAATTTTGTATGTGAGATCTCTGTTTGTGATTGTGTTACTACGTGAAAAGAACCCTTGATCTCATAAGTTTGGGGAATGAAGTTTCAAAGCAAAAGAAGGATGGTAGGGGAGATTTTATTGAAAAGAGAATAGTAGCTACCAGAGTTCTGAAGTGTCTATTCAGAGCTAATTCTAGATAAACAGCACAATAAATGCTTAGGTGTTTTGTGAGCACCTATCACAGAATGCCTTGTGGATTCAACACAACCACCTTGAACTCACATTCTTTGTTTCCTCGGAATGTGCTGCTAAAATGAAACATGGATTTTAGAGAAACGCTGCACGTTTTGTGTTCTAAAGTCCTAGAAACTTAGAGAGTAGCTGCACTCCTTTTAGGAGGCAAGAGGCCACCCTTATTTGGGCAGCAACTTCACTCACCTTCTAAATTGCTAGGTAAATGGCTTTCCTTATTTTAATTCTATCCAAAGCTAATTCCCAACTCTGTGCCAGGCCCTTCGTTAGCTAATTGTTCTATTTATAAGCTAACTATTATTCTCTTCATGTGGACTTTTTTTTTTTCTTCCGAACTGGGGATTGAACTCAGGCCCTTGCACTTGCCAGGGAAGCACTTATTCTACTTAGCTGTCGCCCCGGCCCATCATATAGACTTAAATGTGAGGCTTTCCATACAATTTGTTTTATTTTTTATTTATTTTTGTATTTTAGGGAAAGGTCTACAGGGTGTTCAGGGTCTCACTAGTAGATCGGACTCATAGTGATCCACCTGTTTACAGCCTCCCAAGAGCTGGCATTACAGGCGTACCAACAGCCCAGTCTCATTTGCTGTCACAGCATGTCCTGAGGGCAGGACCTTGGGATCAAACCCCCAGCCTCTGCGCCTGCTTGCAGCGCTTTAATCTCATGAGCTATTTGGCCGGCCTCTGTACAATTTAAAGTACTGAGAAAGATAAAGTGATGTTACCCTATTACCAAAGGAGGGAAATCTGTTCCTGCTGAGGAGAAATTCCTGAAGGGGCTGTCTGTTCTATTCCACACTGAGATAGGCATTGAACTGTGGCATCTACAGTAATTTGTACATGTGCTAGTTCCATAATTGGAAAGAAAAAGGTGTGGCTTGTCTGAAATAGTAGCTTTCTAGTGTGTGCACAGTTTCTAGATGTTGATTTAAAAATTGAAACACTGAATGATACATTTATATAAAATAAATACTGAAGTAGGGGTAAATTCCCACAGTTAATGTCTGCAGGTATATGAATAAATAGAATTAAAAGGGGTTTTTTTGAAAAGTAAGAGAGCAGGAGATTTTGGAGGATGGTAAAAATTAGCAATTGCAATATTAATCATTTCAAGAAGTCAGACTGTTCTATGTGTGATAATAAATGAATTAGCTGCTGGTTTGTTCTCAGATTGGGTGTAAGTTTGCAGGCTTAAAGAAAAGAGAACCAGATAAGAGATAAATGTATCTTCTGTGCATACTAATGGGCTCATCCCATCAGTTTTTAAAGGCAGAATTAGAAATTAGCAAAACAGTGTTGTCGTAGGTCTAAAAACGAGGGTGGCCATCATTATTGATGTCGAATGGGAAAGGGCATCTTTCGTATAAAAAGGGAGCTCAAGATGTGTTTGGTGTTTTCCATTTTACTGGGATAGAACTGAGGAATTTTGTCCTGAGCTACTTCTTACTAAGTTGCCCAGGTTTAGGAGAAATTTTGATAGTCTCTAGCTCTCTGAGTGTTGGGAATACAGACAAATTAGCCACCTTGCTAGTTTCAAATTTGACTTCTTAAAAAAAAAAATACATTCTTTGGTCACCATGATTTACCAAGATTTCAGTGCTTGAGTAAGGTAAGTGCCACAGAGGCATGGTGGTGCACACCTTTTATGCGGGCTACCTGGGAAACTTGAACAGGGGTATCAAATCACCAAGCCTAGCTTGACTAAGTAGAACATTTCAACGTGAATCAGTGTATTTGGGATATACCTCCACTCCACACAAATTTGTCTAATATGCACAAGGGCCTGAGTTAAGTGCTTAGTGAGACAGAGAAAAAGTACAGTTTAGTGCAAGTCTTAAAATTTTGAAGCCACTCATTTTTCACACTCGCATTCTTCAACATTTTTCTTCTTTAACCATTCTTGGTATTTTTCCTTTGCTTTTTCTTGCACATGTTCTTTCTCCAGTTCTTTTGCTGCCTTTCCCTCCATTTCCTTATTGAATTTTTGTTCTTTCCTTTTCTGCTTGTCCTTCCTCTGCACCCACTCCTTGTGCTTTTACTAAGCCATCACGTTCCTTCTCTCTTGCTCTTCCATTGCTCTTTTTTTCTTCTATCTGAAAAGTGAAAGCTTCTTTCTTTCTTTTTTTTTTTTTTTTAATGGAACCAGGGATTGAACTCAGGCCCTTGCACTTGCCAGGCAAGCGCTTATTCTACTGAACCATCTCTCCAGCCATCAGTTTTTGATGGAGTTTTTTTGACATCCTCACACAAAGTTGTAACTAAATGATTTTTGCCTTCACATTCATGTTTTTGCCTATATTGGGAGATGCATTGCTGAGAGGAATTTGTATTAGGAAATATTCTTTTTACACAATTGTCTTTTGTGCAATTTTCTGATCCCTGTAAGCCTTACTTTCTCTGAGCTTCACATTGACTATTATCAACTTAATATTCTTCCAGTAGATTTTATTGAATCATTGCTAGACTCATTTGCTTTTCTTGCATAACTTCCTATTTAATCAGTCTTCATCTGTGTACATCTAATGACTACCCCTGCCCAGGTAGTGATAGGATTTGCACCATAACCCAGGCATGCAGACATTGAGCAGTTCCAGTATCTGTTTTCCCTTTCTCTGACATTCTTACCTATTTCCATTTTGACCAACAGAGTTTGAATGTTGCTTGTTGGGAATCTATGGAACTCACATTTGCAAGTGGGCTTGTGTAGTGCTGCCTCATCTGTGTAGTATGCTTAAAGTTTTCATGTTTGAGGCAGGCAAGCAAATTAGTGTACATGAGCTTTATAATGGAGTTTTGCTATTTAAATATTTTGCAGCAATGTTTATCCTTAAAGAAAGATTAGATTTAATCTAGATTAAATCTAATCTAGATTAGATTAAATCTACAAGATTAGATTTAATGATAATCAAGATGTAAATGTCCTGTATGTAATCACAATATTTCATCATTGAGCCTTAGGCAATGGATGAAAGTATGCAGTTGCCAAACATACTGTCTGACTCACACACTTCTTGACTTATCATCCTTCAACCACTCTTCTCTTTTGGAAATTTTTCCAAAATTTATCATGTGTTATTTTCCATGAACTGTGCTTTTATTTTCCTTCAATGGGATTTTCAGTATTATAGAAATTGCAGAGGGAAATAATTTGGGAGGCTTTATGCCCCCTTACTATTCTTCATTAATTCTGCTATGTCGATGAAAGTGAAAGTACCTTCTCATCAGTTCTGTTGGTGATGAGATTCAAGATTTTACAAGTTTATCAGACAAGAATTCCGTCAATCTCCATGAATAACAGCACAGTGCATTCTCTGGACATGGGAAAGGAGTCACTGGTCTATCAATTCTAGTAAAGTTCTAAGTAAAGGACATGAGTACGGAGTGCATCAATTGGTTCTTAATTCAGGCATAAATCTTACTGTGTTCTTCCACAGCTCAATTTTTTATTTTTTTATTTTTTGGCGGAACCAGGGATTGAACTCAGGCCCTTGCGCTTGCAGGCAAACCTTATTCTACTGAGCTCTTCCTGGTCCCTCTTGAGTTATTTTCTCAAATAAGTTTTGGAGCTTGTTGTATTCATTTTACTGTATTGTTTATTGGCATCATTTAAATATACACAATGATCACATTTATCCTGGGGAATTTGTACCTATACATCATCTCTCTCTTTTTTTTTTAATTTATTTATGTGTGTGTGTGTGTGTGTGTGTGTGTGTGTGTGTGTGTGGCCAGCTCAGCCCCCCAGGGGGCGGGGCTGGCTGGCATGTGGTGCTGGGG